TGTAGTAGCCCAATATGGGAGTTGTTTAGGCTCAATTTCTTTTGGAGAAAAGTATAAATGGTTGTAGGAATTTCTTAAATTTGGAGGAACATGATTTCAACTTCTCCTAAAACCAATTTTGAGGTGATGTTATCGAGTCTTAGGTACTGATTTCCCTAAAACCTTTGCCTCTCTTCCTCTATTCTCAGTTAAGAAGAAATTGCAAGCAATGGTTCTCCAACATTTTAGAACCTCAAGCAACCCAAAAGACTGAAAAGACTCACATTTTGTATGTACCTTGTGAAAAGTTTTCCAACAACTAAGGATGAGATAGAATGAAGTTTAAGTGGGTTCTTGAGATAGGGAGTGCTTTTGCTTGCAACAACTTCCACTTGAAAATGGAGGAGGTGAGTTTGGAATCTGAGGTTCAGAGTACCTCTGAATTTTGGGTGAATAGGAGACAGTATATGGTCTAGAAGAAAGCTCTTTTCTCTCTAGGGGCCTCCCTTAGGTTTCCTTCCTCTTTTGGTGTCTCCTCCTCTGGTTTTCTCCTTTCTCTCTAGCTCTCTAGGGGCCTCCCTCAGGTTTCCTTCCTCTTCTGGTTTTCTCCTCTCTTTCTCTTTAAGGACCTCCCTCAGGTTACCTTCCTTCTTTGGTTTTCTCCTTTCTCTCTAGGAGCCTTCCTCAGGTGTCCTTCCTTCTCTCCCCTTTTGAGCTCGAATTAGATCAATATTTATAGAGAAATGGAGGGGGTCAAGTCTGAATTTGTTCAGCTATAGTGTCTGGGATTCAACAGAGGTTTTCCACAAAAATAGGTAAAGATTCTTCAAAGAATAGATGTTCAGTAAAGCTTTCTTATTTGGTGAAACATTTTCTTTGATTTGGGGGTGGTTTTCATGGGTTTTGTACGTCCAATGGGAGCTTGGGGCGTGCCTATCATGGCAGTCTCGTATTTGGGGCTGTCAGGGGTAGAAAATGTAAATTTAATGAACTTTTAAATGTTGTTTTGTCTTTTCTTGGTTTTAAGTATGGATATCTTGGGGCTTTGGGGCTTTTTGGGACTATTAGGCTCTATTTCATTGGTCCAAGTGTTCTAATGGGTCAAGAATGGGTCTGACATCAGCCATCACCCTTTTGAGGCTTCAGGTTGGGACAGATGACATGACAATTTAGTCTGGTGCATCAAAATGGTACATTTCTTGTTTAACGATCAAACAGATGAATTAGGATATAAATTTTGATGTGTTAGGGTGTTTTGGGTCTCTGAATACAATGGTAATGTCTAATTTGTCAAATAGGGTTGGGATAATTGAGATCTATGGTTGACAAGTTCGGATCAATGAGATTTACTAAAATAGAATCTTTATTTGATGAAATGTCAAACAGGGGAATTTTGGAATGAAATTTGGTGGTTTAGCACTTTTGAATGTCTTTAATCTAATGGAAGTAATGGGTCTTTGATCAGAGGTATAGCTTGACTGATTTAGTTCAAATCATCGTCTTAGCTTATTGGCGTGCTGTTGTAGGCCCCCAAAAATAAAACCTGTACTCCTAAAACAAATGCGGTAGTACGAGTAAGGATCGTTCCCACAAAGAGTATGTAGCCTAGTTTTTGTGCTGCGTGAAAAAAGATAGAGGGGGAGTTTGTATGTAATGAAAACCAGAATTAGAAAGAAAGAAAACCAAATGAGAAGCAATGGAAATAAAGGTACTGAAATTAATCAAAAGAACGAGTCTTGGTCTAAGTCAACATCCACCATCAGAATTTCACTACTGCTTATCGATGCAAAGATGTATCAATTCAGACTTTGAATATTCATCGTAGAAATTATTTTCCTGTATCTCCCTAATCACAGTTAATCAGAAAAAAAAGCGATCCTCTTAACCCTTACTACTGAACAATCCCTAAACAAGCGTTAAAGATTTAATCCAGCAGTAGCCTTAAGCATTAGAGATCGATGAAGCTAAACAACACAAGCACAAGCGGTTACATTTAATTCAATCGAGTGTTCTTCCTAAGATCTAACAATTTCTGACGCATCAAATCATTAAACCCAAGTTGCTTCGCAGATTAGAGGGATCAAATAATTACAGATCTGATATCTAACATAGCAGTAGATTGCAGCGAATAATAAACTAGTACGCCTCCTAGCAATCAGACGAAACAATCATAAACATGAACATAGAATAACATTCGATATTCAAAGCATAAATCAAACAATAAAAATCAAATTAGATCTCACAGTTTTGTTGATTCTGAGGCTTCTGTTTCCTTCAACCAAGTATCAAAATTTTGCTACACATGATCATGGTGAAAACTCGAGAAAAATCAGAGAAGAGAGAAGAGAAGAGAATAAAGGTGCGGCAACCCTAGGTCTGATTGTTTTCTTTCTTATTCTTCCTCTTCTTTTCTTTCTCTCTACTTCCCCCAAGAGAAACCTACAAAATCTCCTAAAATTTCTCTAGATAACAGTCTCCAAGTTTGACTTATCAAGAAAAATATCAAAGATAAGATAAAAGAAAATTCTAATGTAAGTGGGAGAGTAGTGATTTCGCATATGAAAACTTGCAGGGTAAGGAATGTTTCCAGCACGTTAGCAGTGCGGTTGCAGCTATTTCGTGCCCAATTTCGACCTCGATTCCGTCAGTCTCTAACAAAACTCAAAACATGAAAGTTGTATAGCTTTTATTTATCTTTCCAACACATCTTGAATCCTCTCAATCGGAGTTATAATGAAAGAGTTATGCCTAAATTACGACGCGGTGCCGAAACTGTCCAAAATTACCCGATTACCCTTATTTTTTACTTAACGCCTCCATTTGTGCCCTAAATCAAAATATAAGAATAATGAGTCCATTTAGGCACTAAATAAGTATAAAAGATTAAACATTAAAGGCAAAAAATATGATATTTTGCATTCTCATCAATTCTCCCCACACTTAGCTTTTGCTCATCCTCGGGCAAAACTCAAATTCACTTTCCCAAAAACACCAAGGTTACAATGCCATCAACAGAGAACAAGCAAGCTCTTCAATACTCATAACACATCATTAACAAACATTCTTAACAAATTTCAGTTACTTAGTAAGTGTTTTCACTCGAAGATGGAATAAACTAAATACGTAGACCCTCACGGAAATAAACACTCAACTCTTATGTTTGAAAGGTATGTGTTTCGCTCAAATTCATTCCAATGGAAATGATCTACCTTAGGCTTGCATATCTTCTCATTCTCCACCACTAGGATCACATGCATAACACGAATCAAAAGGACTTCTCAAGGGTTGTAACGGGGCTTAGAATCAAAGTGGGGAATATTTGGAAATGTAGCTCAAAAGCCATCGAAACTAGTAGAGCAAAACTGAATCATCTGAAGCTCGAATGCATAAGACATGTAAAACCAACCACTCCATTCAACAACTTCTTCAGTTTTGCTTTAATGCATTTAAAGCGTATAAAACTCCTGCATTGGAAAAGAGATCATTCAAATGAACACTTTTTATTTGCAGTAGGGAACAATCCTTCACAACAACTTCCACCTTTGTATGTATAAGCAGCCCCTTTTTCTTGGAATTTAAGAAGGGGCATGGATAGTTGGTAACATCAAAAGCAATTTCCTCCATTCATTCCTTTCATATTTACTTTTTTTTTTCTTTTTTTTTCTTTTTTTTTTCTTTTTCTTTTTACTGTTTTTTTTTCAAAGCATATCAATCATTGGAACTCATGAATTGAGAATGAAAACATGTTCCATTTCACCATTCATAACCATACCATGAATCCAAACACACCCACACTTGAAACTTGCACATCTATGCATATCATAATGATGAGTAATGCTCCACTAAGTCTACGGCTTGGGTAAGGGTATTATTTTTTTCTCGGGTTTAAAGCTTGTAACATGGGTTCACAATGAACGACAAAGGTCAATAAAGCTCTAAGGGGTTCAACAAAGGGGATGATTTATCAAATGTTAGGCTATTTGGCTTATGTAGCGTATAACAAAAAGGCCTTAATTATGTCCATGCATGCTTGTGTCAATGTGATCTTGAAGAGAATCAAGGCAAGTTCTAGAGAAACAAATCCATGGAAGAATATCTCACATGAAAGAAAATACTGGGATTGATGTAGATGTGTCAGTCCAAAGGCTCAAAATCTCACCAGCTTTTGTCTACTAGATTTAGTCACTACCATTCTCAAGGAAAATAATTAAACTAATTAATTCTAAGTTGGAAAATTACTTATTCAATCATGTTATGAGTTTTTCAAGCTTAATTGAATCTTGCTCATGGCATACACAACATAAAATCATTGAAAACAACAAAAGCATAAGCAAAACTATATTTTATTTTATTTTTCAAACAAATGCAGAATTAAAACACAATCTAAATCAAAATTTAAAACGCAACCTAAATCCCCTCCCCTACACTTAAAACTTACATTGCCCCCAATGTAAGGTGAAATGCAAAGAAAGGGCAGAAATAACTAAAACATAAATGCAAAACTAAGAAGAAAAAGAAAAAAAACAAACTCCCCCTTTTTTTTAATCAGCATAAATCGGATCCTCAAGGTCCAATTGTTCCGCATTCTCTACTTAGAAGCATTTATAGAAATGTTTGAGTCTATGGCCATTCACCTTGAACGCTTTGGAAGTTACTAGACTTTGAATTTCAATTGCACCATGAGGAAAAACATTAGTAACAACAAAGGGTCCAATCCAACGAGAATGCAACTTACCTGGAAATAGACGAAGCCGTGAATGGTAAAGAAGAACTTTTTGACCAACTTTAAACTCCTTCCTATAGATCATTTTATCATGAAAAGCCTTCATCTTTTCCTTGTAAATTCTTGCAGTCTCATAGGCATCATTTCGAATCTCCTCTAACTCTTGTAGTTGCAACTTCCGGTGTTCTCCCCTTTCATCCATCATGGGTGGGTCCAAATCTGGAATAGGGGCTTGCAAAATAGAGGGTAAAGGTCTCCTATCGGAAATTGGCAACATAATATAAGGAGTGTTACCTGACTATTGTAACTCTGGAGAATCATTCAGTGCTGCAACAATTTCCTGCAAATTAGAACTCAAGGTTAATTCCTCTTTCTCAGGATGCTTACTAATGGAAATTTCCTTTCCATCTTTCCCATCAAATTCAAAAACTTCCTGTGCTAGAGAATCAATCATATCTATAGAATAAACAGGATTATCATCACTAGGATATCTCATGGCATCATAAATATTAAACTTAACAATTTTACCATCAAATTCTTGGGTGAGTGTGCCACTATGAACATCTATCTTAGTCTTGAATGTCTTTAAGAATGGTCTCCCTAGCAAAATAGGAGTGGTTTGATCACTATTATCCATATCAAGCACGTAGAAATCAGTAGGGAAAACCAAATCATTAACTTTCACAAGAACATCCTCAACTACACCCTTAGGGTAGGCATTAGATCTATCAACTAATCCAATCACAATACCAGTTTTATTCATAGGTCCAAGTTTCAAAGAAGCATATATAGAATATGGCATGGCATTGATAGAAACTCCTAAGTCTAACATGGCCTTCTCATTTCTATTGTTACCTATCGTGCAAGGGATAGTGAACATACCTAGATCTTTGCACTTTGCAGGGAGTTTTCTTTGAATGACTACAGAAACATTCTCCCCTACTCTCACATTCTCACATCCTTTCAGTTTTTGTTTCCTCTTATGTGTACACAATTCTTTTTGGAATTTAGCATAATGAGGTACTTGTTTAATAGCATCTAATAGGGGAATATTTATCTCGCATCTACGAAAAGTTTCATAAAAATCTTTGAACTGCTCATCTTTTCTAAATTCTGCCAAAGCATGAGGAAAAGGAGGTACCGGTTTATAATCAGAAAGAGTTGGAAATTTACACTTGGGTACTTCATCGTCATTGGGAATGATGTCTTTCTCCTTTTCTTGCTTTGACAATGCAGGGGCTGCCTTTGCTGGAGTCTCAACCTCCTTACCACTTCTCAAAACGATTGCACTTACATTTTCCTTTGGATTCACAACCGTTTGAGAGGGTAATTTCCCCAAACTCTGCGCCTCTAACCAACTAATTGTGGTTGCCATCTGGCCCATCTGATTGTCCAAACGTTGGATACTGGCCCTCGTCTCCTGCTGAAATTGCAAAGTGTTAGTGGCAAGAGATTTAACAATATCCTTTAAAGACATACCAGAATTGGAAGTTTGGGTTGGCTGTTGTCTAGGGGGTGCGGCTGATATTGCTAGAAAGTCGGGCGGTTTTATGGATTCCCATAGCTGAGATTGGGATGATCCCTCCATCCCGGATTGTATGTGCTCAAATAGGGATCATACTTCCTTCGCGATTGCCCCAGAAAACCACCTGCCGCATTCACTTGCTCAATGGGCTCTTCTTGAAGAGTTGGGCATATATCGGTTGGATGCTCTACTACCGAACAAATCCTACAAACCTTCACCGTTTGCATATTACCTGCAGCCACTTGATGAACAAGGGAAGTTAGACTCGCAATTTGTTGTTCAAGGGAAGAGAGATTTACCTCATTAACATGCTTTGATGGAGGGTCAAGCCTAGAGCCGAATTGTTGAGAATTGGCCGCCATATTTGCAATCAAGTTTCTCGCGGCCTCGGGAGTTTTTTCCAAAGCTCCTCCACTAGTAGCATCAATCATGCTCCTATCAGGGGGTTGGAGACCCTCATAGAAATATTGGATGAGTAGTTGCTCATTGATTTGATGATGGGGTAGCTTGCACATAATTTCTTGAAACGTTCCCAGTATTCATGTAAGGACTCCCCGTTGTATTGCCTTACACCACAAATTTCTTTTCTAATATTGGCCGCTCTTGAAGCTGGGAAATATTTCTCCAAAAATAGCCTGTTCCATGTGGTAATACTCCCGGAGAGTAGATAATAGAGCCAATCCTTAGCCAAATCCTTCAAAGAAAACGGAAAGGCTCTTAATTTAATTTGTTCTTCAGTCACCCCCGTGGGTTTCATACTCGTCCATACCACATGAAGCTCTTTCAAATGCTTGTGAGGATCCTCACCTGCAAGACCATGAAAAGTGGGCAAGAGATGTACCGGTCCAGATTTTAATTCAAAAGTAGCATTAGCATCTAAAGCAGGTAAGGTTATGCATAAGAGTTGTTGATTCAAATCAGGTGCGGCAAGCTCTTTCAAAGTTCGGTTTTCAGCCATGATTTCCTCATCTCTCAAATCAGAACTGCTAACAGATAGGGAATCAAAAGCTATATCGTTCTCTTCAAAATGACTCCGAGCTTCTCTCCTTAACTTGTGCAAAGTTCTCTCTATTTTTGGATCGTACCGCAAATCACCTTGCTTAGAAAATCGAGTTACAAGCATAAATCAAGGAAACCCTAATAAACCATGAACGACATATCATAAAAAAATCTAGAGTGATGAAAACAAATAAATAAATAAATAAGACAAAATATTCTACGCTAAAACACAAACAATCAAAGTGATTTCTATTTTTTTTTCAAAAGTTTCAAGAACGAAACAATGATCTCACAATAAGCACAAAAACCAATTAAAAAACTCCCCGGCAACGACGCCAAAATTTGGCATGCTGTCATAGGCACCAAAAAATAAAACCTATACTCCTAAAACAAATGCAGTAGTGTGAGTAAGAATCGTTCCCACAGAGAGTATCTAGCCTAGTTTTTGTGTTGCGTGAACAAAGATAGAGGGGGGGGGGTTTGTATGTAACGAAAACCAGAATTAGAAAGAAAAAAACCAAATGAGGAGCAATGCAAATCAAGGTATTAAAATTAATCAAAAGAACGAGTCTTGGTCTAAGTTAACATCCACCATTAGAATTTCACTACTGCTCGTCGATGCAAAGATGTATCAATTCAGACTTTGAATATTCATCGTAGGAATTATTTTCCTGTATCTCCCTAATCACAGTTAATCAGAAAAAAAAAACCGATCCTCTTAACCCTTACTACTGAACAATCCCTAAATAAGCGTTAAAGATTTAATCCAGCAGTAGCCTTAAGCATTAAAGATCGATGAAGTTAAACAACACAAGCACAAGCGGTTACATTTAATTCAATCGAGTGTTCCTCCTAAGATCTAACAATTTCTGACGCAGCAAATCATTAAACCCTAGTTGCAATGAATAATAAACTAGTACGCCTCCTAGCAATCAGACGAAACAATCATAAACATGAACATAGAATAACATTCGATATTCAAAGCATAAAT